AATAAAAACAGTATGACCTACAATACCTGCTTATCTAAAGTGTGTTAGTGTCAACATTACAAGCATGTTTGCATTTAGATTAAAGCACTTTCTCTCTGTGCTGCGAGCATTTTGTTTATTTGCATAAATTTATAGGTAGAAAATCTCTGGTACTATAAGTATGTTGCCGTTAAGTTAAAATGCATTGATAAATAGACGGAATGATAAAATCCAAGAAAGATAGATAGGTTCGATGTATTACCCTATACTGAAATATAAAATAATAGTGTTGAATTTATAAGAGTCATACATTATTGTATGTTTGAGTGCTTTTAGAACCACATTACAGCATTTTCTTACAGTACTTTATTGAAACGATCCATTCAGTAGAAGATATCCTTTTATATCCTAAGATATCCTTTCATTAAAGTAATGTTTAATCTTCTCTCCATAGCCAGCACTCTGAACCCGTTTGAAGCCGATATTCTTATTAAAGACAGAACCAGCTTTATTCGGCTCAATGTTCTTCTTCAACCTTCCAAACATTTCTCAAAGACAAAGGAGCATTTCGTCTGACTGTGACAAAAAAAAACAAAAGGCTTTCATTTAACTTCCACAGGTATGGAGTTACCTCTGCGCTATAATGTCATTAAGTGCTAACATTACATAAATCCATTACTTAGTCCCTGTGCTGTGGCATTTTCTGGAGGAGAGAGGTTAGCCACACTGCAGTTATCATAACAGCATCCCGTGATCTGAACTCTGTGTGATCAGATTGGTTTTAATAGACTCTGGATTACTTGGAGGCAGTTCCTCAAAGCTAAACATCTCAGTCCCTAGAATTAGAGTGCACATCTGAGGTGAAAACCATTTGTTCGGGAGAATGTCACTGCTGCAATGAAAGAGCTTATATGCTATTATCATACACTGCCTTAAAAAGATGACAGGGCAGAGATCCTTTGATACATTTTCCAGCGCTCTGTATTCAAGGAGATAGCATCACATTTGAGTAGACGAGCATAAGTAGGCTGTCTATTATGTCTAATAGTCTCTTCGCATTTGTGTCGCAGTCGTCACAATATATTTTATTCCATATTGCCCACAAGCTTTTTTATCCTCGCTTAATCTTGTCCATAACAAAGCAGACTCGGATACTATTCAAACAGTCTTAGCTCACAGGAGCCCTTTCATTACAGTTAAAAAAAGTTACAGGCAAAACACTGTCTTTGGTGTGAAGGTTGTGAATTTCAGCTAAAACCTTATTCCACTTTACTTACAAGGCTGTAGTTTCAACACTCTTTCTTAGGTGCGGCCATGTGCGCCAGTGACCTTGTCACTGTTTGCTGACAAAGAAGGCCTCACAAAGGGTCCAAGGATCGCAAACGTTTTACATAAAGAGGTCAGTTTTTTTTTTTTCTATACAAGGATTTTGTTTTCTTTTTTCTTTATATTAACCTTTAAGCTAAAGCTGATCGAGATTAATTCATCTTACATGGTTAAATGTTTTGTAAATGCAGCATCTGAAATTAAGACTTTGGAAGTAACTGTATAAAAATTAGTCAAATGAAACTCCTGTTTTTCTTTAGACACCTAATTAAATAGTAGTAGACAACTGAGAGCTTTTAACTCAAAACTGCAGCAAAGAGGAATGCTTGAGTAATTTTTTAAAAACAACAAATATTTAAAAGTGCTCATAAATCATAGATTCATCCACATTGTGTTAACCACAAAACATTTCCACTGGTTCTTGTTTTTAGTTTGAAGTACATTTTCAAAGTTATTTTTTTTTACCCCTCCTGACCACTGTATACAGACTTTTTTTTGTTATACATCAATAAAAAAACACTGATTTAAAGGTGCTGTCAGGCTTGCATCTCTCCGGAAACAAAACAGATAGGTACAGCTAAAGGGCTCTGAATAGGTCAGTGGGGTGTGCATGCATTTTGTTAAAAAAGAATAATTTGATCATTTCTATCTGGGGTTGTTTTAACACAAATGAAAGCAGTGCACAAAACCACAGCCACTATTTAGTGCAGAGAGAGAGAAATGTGTGTATATATGTGTGTGTGTGCTGCTGGTTCATGTGATTACACCGCTGAATGCAGCACCGTCGCTATCCATGGTCCTGAACCTCCAGCCAGTGCCAGAGGTCTTCTGCAGGCTGCACCGTCCTATGAAAGAGTATCGACTTTTTGTAATAGGAAGTGTGACCGCGGAGGGCACCCAGCAACAGATGCGAAACAGAAAAAAAATGCTTTGGGGGGTTGAAATGTCATGTGAACAGTTGGGTTCAACCACTGAACACCTCAGGGGTGTTATCGACTCCCTTCAATGCTTTTAAAGGCCAAGGGTTTGTTTAGACTGGGCTTTGCTGTTTTTCGCCCTGATAGTGTGAGCAAGCTCAGTATCCAGGGAGTGAATTTGTGAGAGTGAATCTGAGCAGTGGAATGAAAGGAAGAGCTGTTCAGTTTAACTACTGATAACATGTAGGCCATGTAGTCTGATAGTAAACTATGTTTAACTGGACCGTAGGTTGGTCCATGATGGAAGTATACCTGTCATCTCTTGTATGTTAAGATGGTGTTGCAGACCCAGGCTTGATGTTGTTTGTAGTTGTTGGAGTTTGGAGTCTAATTGTTTTTCCATGTGTTGCATTCTGCTTTAGGGCTCCTATAGTCTCACTTCAGTACTTTTTCCCTATTTAAATAAGCTTATGTAATGGCTGAGTATTACATGTCCTTGAATTGCACACATCAACAGTGTCTGCTATCAGATCTATGAGAAAACAACTACCTCAGGCGAGACTTAAACCAGTAAAATGTGCGCTGATGTTACAGATATATCCATCGCTCCATCTGGACATGTGTAACTATTAAACGCGGGTCTTAGATTTAAAAAATCAGCCTTATCCTCATGTTGTGTCTCTGTTTTCATCCTAATTCACTTTCATATCTTTTTTTCTTGTATTTTTTTCATCTGACTCCATATATTCCTTATTGCGCATTGAGGTTTTTCATTATAAACTTCCATTTTCTAACACAAATACATTCCTTAAGGTTCTTTTAAAAAACACAAACGCCAGATTCTAATAGCTTTTAGGATGTATTACATGAGATTTTTTTTCCTTTTCTTATTTTAAAGCTCCTGTGTCAACGTTGGTGCCCCCTGTGGATAAAGCCATCATTGCTCATCTTCTCCTCTACATGTCCTCAGTTATTTAACAAGATTATTTACTGTGAAAAATGTAAAAACAGGGCTGTCTCTTAAGCTGCTTGGGTGACACCTACCCCCTCGCACCAGTTTTAGACATTCAAAATTACAGCATAAAAATCACCGGTCTTATCACTAATGGTCTTGTTTGATTTTTGTATGTCACAAAAATGCACTAATAAGTTTCTGTCTATTCCTTTAACATACAAAATCCTCACAGGAGCTTTAAGCTGGTACTAGGGCTGGGCGATATGGGAAAAAGTTTATCACGATATACTTTTTTCATATCAGTCGATATTGATATATATCATGATATTAAAAATGAAATTTAACAGTGATTATTGGTAGCATGTCTTTTGCAATACAAAAAGCTTCTGCATCTGTGAGGTCTTTGTGTCTCTTCGATGTTTTGTCATTAGGCGTTGCGCTGGAGAAAGCGGACTGAACGGTTAGGTATTTTCCGACTTTGCGAGAACATGTACTCGACACAATTTGCAGTGCACATTACTCTGCTTCATGTCCAGCCTCAAAAAAACAAAATACCTCCACACCACCGACGTTTTCATGCCAGTGTTGTTGACCATGTCGTCATCTGTTGAGCCTTCATCTGCATTTCTGTTGGGGTTAGCACTCATTTTCTTTATTTCTCACCGACAGTGCTGTTGGCTTCATGGTTGCGTATAGCTGCAGCCTGTTACTACACAGTTGTTTGCTACTGGGTTCTAATTCAGCACATGATTGGTTCAGCACCAAGCGGACCCGGAGCAACTATCCTTTTCATTGGCTATTCGTATAGTCTACCGAAACATGGCAGAATGCTGACTATTGAAAAGCATATTGACCATGTTTTACATTGATATTGAGGGAAATTAATTTTCAATATATATCATTATTGTTTTATCGCCGAGCCCTAGCTGGTACCATAGGAGGTAGAATATCTTATGGAGGAAACTTGGATGGAATATTTGATTCCCCTTTCCTCATGTTGTGCTAAGTCAATACCAAGTATGGGATCAACTATTTCTATAAACATTTCTTAATCAGATTAGAGAAATTAACTTTTAAGTTTTTACCTTAAACATCACACCTGTTTAAGTTTTGGATGACCTGTCCCCTTTGGTTTCACTTGAGTCAATACAAAGTCCATGTTTTAAGGCGCTGAATGCCCTCCTACCTTCAAATCCATCCCTCCTGTCTGCTAAACTGAGCTGCCATGTCTTATCTGTAATCATGAACTAATCAGCTGACTCTGGAGACGTCTTAAGTCACCTCTAGTGTTGGCTGGGGGCTCACAGTCATTCAACTCACTTATTATTTCAAGAGAATTTCAATTTCTGGTGGTTAAAGGCAAATGAAATAGACATTACAATCAAATACTGGTCCCCACTTGTTGCAACGTCAGACTCCATCTCTCCAGTATGGGAGGAGGTAGAGTTAGGAGGGGGGAGTCCGTCACATCCTCTGTCCATATATGGGCATGAAGTTTACACGCAGCGGGGAATCCTCTCACTGGAGCTGATGAATGGGGAGGAGGGCCGAGGGAGCTGCCAAAGTGTATAAAAGGCGCGAGAGGGGAAGTCGCTGATGTGAAATCCACAGCAAGCAAACACCTACCGAGGAGCAGAGCCGAGAAGGAATACCTTTAACTGCCTTTTTTTTTACACCTTTTGACACAGAGCACTTTGGATCATTTGTTGAAAACCATCAAAGGGGGGTGGAAAGAAAAAAAAAAGTCATCTGAACAATTTGTTCTTTATTTTCCCCCTTTTACCTTTTCCCTGGGAAGGACACGGACTTCTAAGAGCATCACTATGTTGAACAATATGGATTTGAATGCGAAAGATTCTTTTTACCCTCAGTTTGACAATTGCAACAGTTCTTCTTTGGGGATGGAAACCAGCGCGCGGAAAGAGAACCAGGAGGTGTATGTCGATGCAGAGCGGGGGGTACCTGCCCAGTTTGGCCACGGTGAGTTCGCCTCTTTGCACTGTCGATTAAAAAAAATCTGCATGCATTAGATTTTAGATCTCTTAAAATGCGAGTCCAACAGAATAAAAGACAACTCTGTCAATGCAGACCGTTCTCCCAATGCGTCTTATCAATGCATTCCTGTGCCAAATACGCACGAATGTTTATGTAACGCAGATTTTCTTCCTCCTTTAATTTTGAATGTCAAATATATAAAACACTGGCGATGACAAAGTTTTCTCTTGATCTAATTCAACAGAAGGAGCTCCTGCTACCCTCAAAACCGAAGCTTCCAACTCGGAATTTGCTTTTAACCCGTGCGAGTGCCCAAAAGACACCTACACCCCCTCCTCTCTCGCCTACTCCGGCAGTTTTTATGTGGAGGCATCTCAGGGAGCGCCGTGCAGCACCGAAACACTCCTCAATATGATCACCGAGATCGTGGGCATCTCCACAATGCCACTTTCAGAAGCGCAACAGAGCGGCAACAGTCGGGGAACTTACCCGTCGCCTGCGCCGATGGACAGCAGCAATGGCAATTTTGGGGACGTTAAAAGGCAACCCTACACCTGCTCCGGACCCACTCCCCCAGTTTACTCTCCAGACCAAACGTGCCAGAGGTATCCTGACGATCAGACCGGCAGCCAGGCCCAAGACCCGTCAACCTCCCAGCTCAGCTTCGGCTCCTCTCGAGCTCCAAACCAGAAGAAAGATGAACCAAAGTCCGAGGCCGCTTCTTTCCCTGTCGTGGTGAAAAACGAGTTTGAAAGTAGCTGCTACGAATGGGGTACATTTACCAACAAGACGGACTGTTTGGAGACTAGTTTCCAGTCTGAAACCTTCCCGATGTCGAGCGATTTCCCCCCTGACCAGCAGATGGATGTGAAGGAACTTTTAGACACGTTTCCCCCGATTTGTCCCAACCCAGAGATGGAGTTTAAAGTGGAGGGGGGGATCAAACAGGAGCCGTGTTTTTCTGACACCTGCTCCCAGAGCTACTCCAGCCCCCTTTACAACAATTACCTCCCCCCACCCCCTCCAATGGGCCTCTCATCCAACCTCAAGCCCTTCCCCGAGCCCCCACAGCCCACTAACCAGTGTGACCCTTTATACACATCACCAGCTCTACCCAGCACTATAGACTCCATCCTCTACTCTTCCTTGTTGCCAGATTCTTTCGCCCAAAGTTACAACCCCCGTCCGCCCAAACCCCCACGGGCCAGAAAGAGTCCCGCGGCCTCTCATGGCCCCGCCAAAGAGAAACCCTTCTCCTGCCCCATGGAGAGCTGCGACCGGCGCTTTTCACGCTCGGACGAGCTCAACCGGCACATCCGCATCCACACGGGCCACAAGCCTTTCCAGTGTCGTATCTGTTTGCGCAGTTTCAGCCGTAGCGACCACCTCACCACTCACACCAGGACTCACACCGGGGAGAAGCCTTTTTCGTGCGACGTGTGCGGCAAACGGTTCGCCCGGAGCGACGAGAGGAAACGGCACGGACGCGTACACCTGAAACAAAAGGAGAAAATGGAAATAAAGCCACAGGTGAGCACAGGCGCGTGGCCCTTCACTCTCCCCGAGGGAATCTGAAGACGAGGCTTTTTTGTGTTCGCACATACTATATTAGGATCTTTCCGTCTTGGAAGATGAGCCAGCTGACAAGGGGGTTGATGTCTGAGTTGGCCACTGCCTGACATGAGAGGTTTTGCAGTTTTTAGAGGAGTAGAGGTGGAGAAAGAGAAAGAGAGAGAGAGAAGAAGAGAGAAGGGTTCTGCTTCGGCCATATTGTCTGCTGCAGACGTTCGGACTTGAAAAAGTGAAAGTGGGGTGAGCAGATGAGCAGTGACTTGTTGCTGCTCCTGCCATGAGAGTCAGACCTCTGTGCTGCGGCATTGCATGACTTGCTGTTCAGCACCTCCTTTACTGGACAGCTCCAGCCTCTGAAGCCTGGAGGGATTGCACTTAACAGATTATTAATATCTCCATTTAAAATTCTTATTTTCTGCTTTTTAGCATTCTTAGAGCAATGGTTGGACAATGTTTCTTAAAATGCATGTTTATGTCAGTGTTTTACTTTCCTTTAACCGGAATATCAACCACTGTCAAGGTCCTCCTTCACTCCATTCGAGGACATGAATGTAGGCTGACATATTTTTGTCTACAGAGGTGTTCATCTTTGATTAACTCAAGTGTGTGTTTTATTTCTGATCATTTGGCTGTCAATGTTTTTTTGTCATTGGTCTTTGTATTGTGTTACAACTGAATTATTACAATTGTGAAAGATATATCATAAATGGGAAATAAATATATTTGTATTACTGTACTTCTTTGTATTTTTATAACTATAACTGTATATTTTACATTTATCACTTTTGAGTGTCCTTTATCAAGGTGAAATGTATTCTTAATCATTAATAATGTCTTGGTTTTGAGGGCTACTGTTTAGTAACACAATATTTTACATGTTACGATTTGATATCAGAGACATTTTTGCACATCATCCCATTGTTGATATGATAAGAATTATTTCACTGAACTGCTGTTCAAGATCTAAAAGGGACCAATATGTAAATTAGTTGTGGTACGGATTTCCGAGATTTTACAGTCTGTACTGAAATATGTTTAACCAAGCTAGAAATGACTAGCAAACCATATAAACATTGCTTTTGAGTAATCAGGTAGCACACATTGCTGCGAGTTTCTGTGGACATTCTGTGGACCTGGGTGATTAAAGGTTTTGACTCCTGGTATCTTTTTTTGAGATACTGTAAGCTGAAATTGTCATTTTAGCAAAAAAAAAACAAAAAAACAAAAACAAAAAGAAAAAAGGAAAAAAAGAAAAAAAAAAGAAAAAAAGAAAAAGAAAGAAAAAAAGCCAATCAGATTATGTTAAAGGATTGGTGAGATGGTCACCAACAGGTTACTGCAAAAAAGTAATTTAGCTCGCCTTAAGTTATATTAACTGTTGAAGTAAAGATTTTGTACATACACAGTTTCTACAATACTTTAAATAAATATTGATGTTGTTATTTTTATGAAAAGTTTATGAACAAAATAAACATTTTCTGGAAGCAACATGGTTCTCGTGTGTGTTTTAAATGATAGAAACGACAACTTTTCCTTCATCGACCGAACATATCTGTTTTAAATCACGTTCAGGCTCCTTGTTAGAGCGTTCAGATGACTGCATCTTTCCCAAAATATACATTACAACGGTCCACCGGTGGCACCATACTGTAGCTCTAATATAAGACATCACAAATCTGCCCTGTGACTCACATTTGATTCGACCACATTAAAGTGAATATCCTATTAGTCAGTGCTGTAATTGTGAACCCCCTCCACTTCAAAGATATTCTTGTGTCATAAATGTAGAGCTGAGCAGCATGGGTGCCATGCTAGTCTCTACAGGAAACCTGTTAGACAGAACATTTTCCTGCCATCACAGTGACATGATCTGATGCTCTTTGTTCATTTATTCCTTTATTTATTTATTCATTTTTTAAAGCTGTTGAACCCCATTGTGATCTTTTATCAGGTATTATTTTCTCTTCAGGATATGCAGATCTGGTCAAGACCGCTTGTGCATCCTTGAAAATGCAGCTGATGCGGTCTGTGCATGGAAAACTGTCTAAGAGGATATAAACGGCAAAACCGCAATGGAGAGCGGACCCTTTAGCGTCTACATTTTAATGCGAATTGGTAAAATCACCCACACTTTGAGTGGCATCAAAGTTATTTGTAATCTGACATGCAAGGGACAGATTGATAGTGCACAGTAAACGTGCAAAGCATTGAGAGAAATCTGCTGTTTCTTTGGTCTGAGAAGGATTAGAAACGCTTCATCCTCTGTGCATCTTCCCTTTTCTCTGTGCATCTTACAATCTGTCAATACCAACCATGCAGACATGTATTTACAGGGACTCTGCACATGTATGTCCCCATGACGCAGTCGACTGGCAGAACACTACTCTCCTTGCCCACGATGGTGCGTAAGTGCCTGCGTTGCCTGTAGCTGACAAACATACTGTAGCAGTGTGAAAATGCAAGCTGCCACATGGAGCACTGTGAATAGTATGTACCCATCCTCCCCTGTCCATCACTCTCCATCACTTACAAAACGGAGCTAAACCGGCATCTACAAGCACTTCCCATATTCCTGTTGTTTTAGTGGCAAACATTGACCAGTGATGGATGGTTGAGGCTTTGAATTGCCGTGATGTGCAGTCACAGTGACCATTATCCACACACTTGAAGACTGAAGAGTTATTGAACTCTGGCCAGTGATGGAATTTCTGCATTTGTGCATTTGGAAACTCAAATTCACATTTGCATAGTGTAAATGGCTCTTGTTATATCTACAGCTTGTGCGTACAATTTCGACCGTGTTGTCTTTATCGAATACGTTCACAGTGTCATAAACCCTCATACCTCATACTTTGTTACAGACTAAAAGGCATAAATCAGTTCTTTTCCACTCCCTGACATTTATGTGTTTTTTTTCTCCTGTAGATATGGGTAATTGCTGAAGCCATTAAGTAATTGTGCAGGAAGGGCACATGACCGCCACTGAGAACCATGCTTTCTCAGAATGTGGACCTCTGCTGTGAATGGTAGCACATCAAGTCCATTAAGTCCTTGCCAGGAGATTTCGAATGCAAATATGTAAACATTAGGACTGTTACACTGGGGGGTGGGGGGGTTTATCCGAGGCCACGTCTCTGTGTGACTAACATATTCCATACGTAAAAACCACGAACAGATGTGATTTCCTTTACTTATTGTCTCATCCAATTAATCGCTTGATGTAGGATTGCTTCTGGGTAAGTCAGTGACACTATTTATCTGCTCTCCCAAATGAATACTTTGGCTCAGGATAAAATAAAATAAAAAATCCTTAAAATTGTCAGTGAAGGATTAGGTGGCCCCAAATTCTAAAGATGAGTGTCACTGCAGAATGATATGTACTTACATGCTCATGACTTCTGAGCACAGATTTCTCTTTGCTGATTGGCAAACAAAAGTTTGTTTTTCCCCTGCATAATCTGTTCCTCTTTTACATCATATATGATAAATACGTACTGACCTCCGGCTCATGTAGATTATACAGGCTGCAAAGTGAGCGTAACACCCTCCTTAGAGTCAAGCTCCTCCACATTTGTGCCTCTATTTAGTGTTTGAAGTCTACCTTAAGAGGGACAAGTGCAGCCCCAGTGGTCTCTGAAGAGCCCAGCATCCCTTTTAACCATGCTTGAACTCCAAACAGTCCCACCACTACAACAATAATCCAGTAATGACTTTCAGGATGTATGAAAATGAATTTATTTGCTCACATGAAGGATCGGAGGCAGTCTCCACGGTTCAGGCTTCAGGTATCAGGTCACCTGAAGTACCTATTAATAATCACAGTCCTACTTGAGACGGTCTATATGGCCAAACAGTCTCATTCGCCGCTGGATTGATCTATTGTGGGGTAATCACCACATAATTTCATGCGCACCTTTAAAATGTGCACCCGGGCACGTCATGGTCCTTAGGGTGGGCTCAGTAATCAAGGTGCATAATCGCATGGCGGTAATGGCAATCAGGCTTAGCAGATTAATTCCTCGGATCATACATCAGCCCGTCGGTCCTGTATCTGATCATGAAGAAGGGTGTAGGTGGTCTGGAGAGGTGATTAAAAAGAAGAGAACCATTGCAGCATTAAGGAGCTCGTTATGCAAACATTTTAAAGTGCCTAATTCTTTCCATTGTTCCAGCAACCCCGATTTCTTCACTTGTATTTCTGAGCGAGACAGAGAGGATAACTTTTTTTTTTTCTTCCCTTTGCTCATTCATAAACTACAGGTCAACTCCTGGGTCAAGGTGTCCAGTCTACCACATTCGTCCTGGGCATAACATTGCCATAGAAACAACTTCTAAAGACTCAGTTTCCAACAGGCTGCACTTAAAGTGAATGGAAAGAGGTGAACATATCCGCAGCTAACTGAATGACCTCAAAGTAATTCTGCTACTGGGGGAAACTCACAGCTGCCCTTGGAAAATTCCAGGTGAGTGCCCTAACAATGCTGGAGCAGAGCAGTGTGATTACTGTAAACCCCAGGAAACTATATAGGCAGTAGAAGTAATCATTTCAGTCCAAACAAACATCTCGATGGCCATGTAATCATTTCCCTGAAACCTATTGCTCTGACACTCTAGTGCTCACGTTGCTTGTACTCTAGGATAATATATAAACATGGAGCTTGCCTGCGTGTTAAAATATCACAACCCCTCCTCAATTTAAAACAGATGCCAACATTTTCTATAAGCAATGATTTTTTAATGAGTAAATGGGTCACTTAGACAAAACAATAGTGGTCTATTAAAATGCATGTGCGCCTCCATCTCCTCCCATTTTGAGAGGAGACGCCAAAGTACCACCATGATGGGCACTTACATATTGGTACTGGTTATACATTTGGAGCTTGACATGGCAATGATGTTTAGTCCCAATGTCATTAAATATCCACAGTGAGCGCAGGTTCTTAGAGTGATTTTAAACACACCCATATTTTGGAAAGTTCAATGACTTTTTGTTATGTATGTTA